TTATACCTTGAACTCGCAAAAATGACAAAAAAATTTAGCCAACAGAATTTCCGAGAAACCGAACAAAACATTCATTTTTTTCACTCCGAAAAATTCAAGATTAAAATAACAACAAATGTGTTCTATTTGACAAATAACAAAAATAAAAAAAAAAGCGTCACGGAAAGATTCTTTGAGAAAAAAGTTCCAATTTTTGAAAATTTTTTATTTTCTAAATTTAACAAAATACATATTATTATATCAACAATGGTTGAAAATTTCATAAAATTAATCCAAAAAGTTGCAACTGGGTCAAGCGCTTTTTTTACTAGTATAATCAAGACCTGATTTATAAAAACCGTCATTCACAATTTTAAGCCATTTGCACTTTGTACGTGGAGAGCTTAAAATTGCCTTCTTTTAGGCAAAAAAGTTTTGCGAAAGATTTTACAAAAAATCAAATCACTTAGCAAAAAAATCTTGTTCTTAGTTGACCGTCGGCACACTTTTCTGAAAAATCTTCAAAACGTGTTTCAGTGATTTTTTGTTCATTGAGATTTAATTAGTAGCAAAAAAAAAATTGGTCAAATCAAAACGCAAAAAATTTTTTCTATGTGTAGCATTGACACAATCAGTCTCAATTATTCAAAATTGTGCAAAAACTATCTTTTTTTTTAATCTAATTGAAATACGACCAATCTAATCCATTCCTTGCCAAATTTTCTCATCGGTAAAACTCATTTTGTTTTATCTGAGTATTTATTTTTGAGCGAATTAAATCAGATTTTCGATAAGCATTTGAAAACTTTTTTTTCAAAGAGCAGGCTTTGTTCAAAGATATGTTTCTTTTAAAAAGAAGGCGCTTGCTGTGCAGTATAAAAAAGTTTTTGAAGAAAAAAACTCTAAAATTATAAAGCAACTTCAAACATCGAAAAGATTTTTCATAAAGTGCACAAATGAAATAATGCACAATTGAGTGGTAAATACACGCTAACAAATCGACAAAACGTAATAATTATGTTATAGGGTCAGCCTATCTAAAGAAGTCTGAGAAACCAGAAAATCAGATGTTTATTTTAAATAGACAATTCTTCTAATTTTTGTGTAAAATCCAAATTTTTATTTAAAAAGTTTCAAGATAATATGCTAACAAGCACAATCTGCGTCATACATTTTATCTGCTTAGAAAGGAAACTTTTGATTGCCTAAAAAGTTTTCGAATTTAAGACTGACCGTTTTTTTTTCATAAAATGAGCCCAATTTGACAAAATCTTGATCAAGAGAAATTTTATCCTTCTAAGGAACCTAAAATTTACTTTCCACTTTCGAAACTTAAAGCGCTGTTCATGCACTCCGTAAATGGAGATTGTAAATTGTGTTTCACTTAGTAATCAAACTTGATTTGATTTTAAAAAAAATAGCAACAAAATCTTATTTGAATGTGAATGATTCTATAGACTTTTTCACGACAAAAATCCAAGAAGCGTAAATATGTGTATTCATTTCGCTCAAACTGTTTTAATAAATTTTTTGAGTAACTTTAGTCGATGTCGATCAAAACGCATTCACTGTCTTGAGTCGCACAGAAAAGGTTTTGCATATTGAAATAAATATCATGATTTGAAGAAAAAAAAATAGAAAACGAAACTGCACTTAAAGCGCTCAACAGCTTCAATATCTGCTCTACAAATCAAAATTATTAGAAGTAATTTTAATTTCTTGGAAATGCAGAGTAGCTACTAATGATTATTGATCGCTTTAAGTCCTGTCCGTTTTATTTTCCCCCATATTCTTGACATTTTCTTCAATGAGCGAAACTCTTTCTGTGCGACTCAAGAGAATAAATACACTTCGATCGAGAAGGAACAAAACAAGTCTCTCGTCCCTTTTTTGGCGGCTTTTTTGTCGACTGACATAACCAAAATGGCTAGGTTTGAACCCATTCATTTTTCAAACCTTACAATATTCAGATTTTGCCATCCAAAAAATTAGCGACTTAATTATCCGATTCACAAGTATTAAAAAGAAGGAACAAGTTTTTTCTGATAAAATTTAAAAATGAATGTAGAGCCAATAATTGTTTTAGCTTGGCTGTCTCAAAATAAAAAACCTTTTATATCAAAATTCTAATAAGACGTCAGTTTGTATGACCATTTATTTCTCGTAATTCGGTCAGAATATCATGTCAGCCTTTTTGTGGGTTTGATGACCATTTAACTTTCTACTATAAAGTCAAAATTGAAATTGTGTCATGTTTCGATTTATGTTTCGACCAACTCGACTATAAAAAAATTAAATTTTTGTCTACAATATATATATATATATATATATATATATATATATATATATATATATATATATTTATATATATATAAATGTATAAATGTATATAATATATATGTATAAATGTACAAACGTATTTTATGTATATGGATATATATATATATATATATATATATATATATATATATAGTAATATAAAAAAAATTACATATATATATATATATATATATATATATATATATATTTATATATAGGTATATATAAATATATATGCATATGTAAATATATACATTTATACATACATATCATAACATATATATTTTATAATCACCTTCAAGTGCCTATTATTTAATTTGAAATCAGACCCAAAAAAACGATTTGTTTTATGATTTTGAATACAAATTTTTATGAATCTTACTTTGAATTTTGGTGGAAGTTTTTTTAACAAGACAGGATATCTGATAGTTTTTCTCTTAAACTGTCTTTTGCAAGTTATTGTTGACAAAGTTTTACAGAAACCAGGTAAATCAAATGTATTATATTTAGAAAAATATCACGAAGCTTGTTATAGACAAACAATTAAATTGAATTTTTTCTATTTTTTTATACCGATTTTCAGGTTTCAGCTTTGTTTTAAATTGGCTTGAACTTTTCTTTTAACATAAACAATACCCGGTGACTTTGACTTCTTTAACAATTTTAAGTCTGAATTTGTAGATATGGCAAGTTTTAGGGGTTCAATTTACAATTTATTCAACATAATCTTCGGAAAATAAAAAAAAATTCATAAAATAAAGTGTCACCGCTTAGGGTCAAAAATATATACATTTTTTCTAATTTCTGGTATTTGTTTGAAAACAAATTTTTAAAAATAGCAAAACAAAATCAGTCCCAAATTATAGTTTCAAAAAGCAAACTTTCAAATGCATACAATTAAAATAATTTTAAAATTTGTCTTAAAAACTAGCCCAATTAAATACAACTGGTTCAAAAGTGATTTTTCACGAAGGGAAACTCAATAACTGATTTGAAATATCGTACATCACATTTTTTGCAAATTATTATGTTCAAAATATATTCTAAAAAACCATAAAAAAACTTCCCTTCAGCTAAACATATTTAATGAGGTGTAATGAGTGGCATAAAAAGTTTTGATGTCAAATTAATTTTTCCCTGGTGGAACAAATTTCATTGAAAAAAACCTCAATAAGCTAGTATTATTTAAACGTTTAATTTTTAGCAAATAGATTCAACATGAAAGTTTGTATGACATAGCAAAAAAAAATTCTTTGTTTTTTGTACACATTTATGTATTTTTGCAACTGAGAACTGTTATTCGACAGGACTTTGAAAAACTTAATTTTAAAGAGCAGCCATAGTTGAAAAACAAGTTTTTAACAACTAAGACAAAACTAACTGGTCCTGTGCAGGTAGGAAGGAAACTTTTGTCCACACTGATTGAAAACTTAAACAACTAATTCAAACATTCAAAAATTTCATCAGAAAAGTGCACGAGTGAAATATTGCACGATTGAGTGGTAAACATTAGCTGGCTTAACAATAAAATTGTAGTAATACTTAGTCTTAAGGTCAGCCTATAATCAAACTCCTGTAAGCTTTTCTCTAATCTAGTCTAAAAAAAACCTGAAAATCAGATCAATTTTGCTCGAAAATGAGACGTATATTTAGAAAAATTTCCAAAAATCCAAATTCTGATTAAAAAAACTTTAACATGAGATCAAATGTGACACGTCCACGCTTTCTGTGAGATGAAATTGGCTAAAAAAGGCAGACTTATGCTATAGTTCCTTACCTGCCTGAAACAGGAACTCGATCACTTAAAAGACTTCTGAATTTCAAAACTGAAATCAACCCATTTTTGAAGAAGGTGATCAATGGTTTTTTCATTCAACTGAAAAACGTAAGAAATACATTCAGTATTCACAACTGAAATTTGATCACGTTCTTATGGGGTTCTTCTTGAGCTCTTCTTTCTCTCCACCACTTGCAAAGTGTGGAACTATTTTTCTATGCAATTTTTTCCATTGTTTATAAAAACTGACATTTGGACAAATTAGAACATTACAAATATACTTTGTCATCATAGTTGGCCTAGCAAACCCCTCGTTTCACCGTAAAGTTGATGTGAGGTGGGGGAGAAGAAAAAGATACCGGTTTTGCGCTCTCGTTGTTGGAGATCGTGGCTTGCTTTCCATTTGAATTTGAATTAATCTAAAAATGCAAAAATCAAATAGCTAAAAATTATATTTCACGGTGAATGACTCTGAAGACTTTTTATGGCGAAAAAACCATAAAAAGATTGTGTCTTTACTTCGTTCTTTATATTTTATTACGAACAACGCAAATGTATGAGTGGTATTTTTGATTTCCTGGAACTGTAGACGAGCCTCCGAAAGCTGCTGACCGCTTGGAGCGCTGTCAGTTTTGTTTTCCCCATATTCTATACAGTTCTTTTATTAGACTGTGTTTTTTTGCGTCTAGATTGCTCAGATGCTACGTCTTTTGCCACCAAAGCTTGGCAGCTGTAATAGACCATGCAGCTAAAAATCAAGTTAGAGCTCGTCCTCACACACGCATGCGCGCGCACGCACACACACACACACACACACACACACACACACGTACACAATCATAATGGATCGAATACTCGATCTGAGAATCTCGAAGTCAACGCCTTACCCATACCATATGCTAAGTGCCACATGCTGAAACTTTACCTCATTTTGGAGTGCGCTAAGAAGAACGTGCTTATGTTGTTTTTCCAGCTGCAGGTCACACTTTAATGTATTCACCAGATGATCTCGTTCAACCTTCACGTTTTCCAGCTCTTCTCCCAGTTGCCGTTTTTCCGTCTCTGCTTCGTCTCGGAACGTGCCGAACTCACTTTGAAGCCGATCTGTTTCGATTTGCTTCTCTTTTCTGACTCGACTTAGTTCGTCTAAATGTCTTCTTCGGCATTGTTCCCAGTCTGCTTTCTGCCATGCTAGCTCAGAGCGTAGCTTGTTTATTGTACACTCTTTCTCTTCACGCACCTGAGCGAACTCCTTCTCGAAATTACTCCTGAAAGACGAAAACTAGCCTAGCATAAGGCAATTTTTGTTTCTTTGAAAAATGAAATGAACCAAACAATTATAAGAAGGGTTTAATTAGGGGCACAGCAGCAGTTTTGGGCAGAGTTGAACTTATTTGTTTGTCATTTTCAGCACGGACAGTTTATAGTAATTTATAAATTATTTTTAATTTTTTTCTTTTATGATGCTATTAATAAACAATGGGAAACTTTTGATCTCGCATAGAAGAAAATGAAAGGGTAACCTATATGCTGATTACCATATTCAATCTGAAATCAAAAGTCTAAAAGTCTGCGAAAAGGGAAATCAAAATTGGCAACGTTTCCTGAACGGCGCACAAGCAAGGAAAGATTTCGGGTCCACGTGGTTACCAAGTAAATAGAGTTAGTTTTTGAAGAGCAATTTTTCAGTCTTGTTATGTCTAAAAAGGCTCTTAAAGAGTTTATTGCAGCATAGAATTTTTAAAAGCGCTACAATGCAGATGAGAATGGTGTTCAGAAAACGGATGAAAGAAAACTGCAATTGATTCAAAGGTTTTTATTGCACTAGTGTGCTTTGAGAACCTTTATATCTTGATTTGGTAAATTAGAAGGCTCCTAAATGATTTCTTGGAATCAATTAGTCTCAGTCTATATATCTATTTTAAACTTTGCTTGTCCAATTTTTCTTCTTAGAATTGCTTTGGTTGGGTCCTGTACAAAAATTCTGAGGCCATGTCATAAGAGAAATTAATGGCGCTATATTTATCATGATTAACTTGATACTGACGCTACATGTTTAATGCGGAACACAACTAAATGAAAACGAAATGCAATATGAAGCTCGCAAAATTAATAGTCAGTTTTGGGAAGCTACGGTAAGATGAGACAAAATTAGTCAAAAAACGGACCAAATGAGGTCTATGAATAGACTTTACTGAGAATTGAGGTGGTACTTCAGAAACTATGGATTGCTTAATTTGTTTGCCTAATTTTCACCCCAAGCTCGTATGGGGTCGAGTGAGGTATCCCAGGTCCATCAATCTTAGATATCTTTGAAAAGCCTTGAAGAATCTTGGTTAATGAATATTAAAGAAAATCTTGGCTGTCTTGGCTAGTTCTTGCCAGAGAATCTTGAAAGATATTAAAGATTTATCGAGAAAATTTAATGAATCTTGAAGAAAAAAACAAAGATAGCAAAAATTTTTTAAAAGATTTTGACGATTTGCAAGGAAGATTGGCGATATGATATCATACTGAAGTTCTTGGATCTTGTTAACTATTCCCCCCCCCCATTTTGGATCTTGTTAACTATTTCCCCCATATATGTATATTTTTAAAACAATTTCTGGGAATGATAATTTTCCAAAATTAGGAACAGCTGTCAAAGAGAAAAAGTGCCCAAGGCTAATATAATCTGTCAGCAAACCTCCCGTTGAAAGAAAATTTCAAAATTTATCTTTCACAAGGTAGATTACTCACTTTATTACGCTGTTTACATCCTAAAGCTGCAAAAAATCTTCTTAATCTGTCAACGGGGATGAACGACAAATTAAAGAGAACGGAGATGGAAAAACACATTGTAAATTTAGAAAAATGATAGGAAGAAAAATGCAATTGAGAGCATTTTAGATAGTTATCACAAGAAAGAAAGATGGATAAAAAAACTTGACTCCAGGTTCAAAACTTTCAAGCAGTAAAGTTTTCGAAATAGGTAGGCACCAAATGCCAATCATTTACGAGTTGATAGATAGCGTAGCTTTGCATTTATCAGCGGAGGACAGCTTCTGCGGAATACAAGTGTCTTTCAGGAATCCACACCTCAATAATGCGCATAGCCAACTCGAAAACTCCCATGCAATGAGTAAACGTTGCAATTTCAGCATGTTACGTGGAAATAACAACATTACATACGGATTTTTAACCGAATAGTTTGGAATTGGCAATAAATTAAGACAAGACTGCTCGTATCAGGGCGAAGCCCTAAATGTTCCGACTGCCTTTTAAGATTTATGGAGCAGTAATAACATTTAAAAAATTTTAATAAAATAAAATTAAATTTTTTTTCTCTAAAATTTGATTTTTTTTTTGAAAATTATCCCCCCACACGCCATATAAAGTACAAAAGGATAGATTTTGCTGCTTGTAACAAACCAATTATGGCGAATAAGCTTCTTTTAACCGATTTGGAACGATTTCTAAGACGGATTAACTCTCCGCTTACGCGTTAATAGCGCGAAATATATCGCGTGTTAATTGTCCCAAATTGACCAAAATGGCAACCTTTAAACCCCCATAACTTTACGAAAAAAGATCACAGGTGAAATATCTTTTCAAATTTAAGCTCAGGACAACAATAGCTTTCGAATGATATAAAAAAATTCCGTCAAAAATGGCTAGTTAAAAAGTCGAAATTTGTCTGAAGAAAAAAAAAACCCACCCCGAGCACAAATATTCCGTTACTTTCGTATCGAAAGTCGGAACAATAAAATTCAATCAGTCAAGAACTCATTTAAAGAAATCCTTTTCAAAATCTTTGCATTGATATAATTTAAGCGCTCGAAAGGTTCATTTGTAGAACACAAAACAATTTTACAAAAAAGCTCTCAATCCTAGACGAGAACGAAAAGGCGGTGAAATAGGGAAAGATTTGTTTTTTTTTAGAATGACTTTCTTGGTATAATTTCAAAATATCTGAAGCAGAAAATTGGTCAATTTTTAACTAATCACTCGGACCGTTGTTGAACTTTATCAATGAAGTGCCAATCGTACCCTAGCTTCCGAGAAATTAACAAAAAAGTACTTATTTCGGAAAACTTTGTCATTAACGAAAAACAAACTGAAAACTAACGTCTTTCAAATGGTTTGGGAGCAACGCTAGAACAACTCCAAAATTGCGAGTGCAAAAGGATCATGTTCGCGTCTTAGTCCAGTGTTTTAAAAAGTCAAGAAATGAAACTTTTCACTATGAACAAGAGTTTTTGGGCGTAGCTTGGACTTCCGAACACTTTAGAAGTTATCTATAAGGTTCAGAGTCTCAAATTATGATAGATCACAAAACTACAACGTCAAAATCCTTATTCACAATAGACTCTCCTGTTGGGTGATAAGACTTTTACGCTTCAATTTTAAAAGTTTTAATTAACAAGAGAAAGATATCAGCTAAGGATCTTTCACCAAGAATTTCCTCAGGCATAGTCTTGCCACTTTTACATAATGAAAAATAAATATGGTGGCTTTTTTCGTGGTTTTGTTCAACTATACTGGCTGGCTTCACTCCATAAAATAAGATGAACATTACAAATTATCATATAAAAAAGTGCTGCATAAATCAACTCTAAAGTTATATCGTCAGTCGCTGTGAACAAAGTGTAAACAAGACTGCTCGTAACAGGGCGAAGCCCTGAATGCTCCGACTGCCTTTTAAGGTTTATGGAGCAGCAGTAATAATATAAAAAATTAAATGACATAAAAATGAAAAAAAAAAATTTAATTTGAAATTTTTTATGAAAATCATCCCCCCACACGCCAGATACAAAACAAAAAGATAGATTTCGTTCCTTGTAACAAATCAATTATGGCAAATAAGCTTCGGTCAACCAATTTGGAACGATTTATAAGACGGATTAAATCTCCGCTTACGCGTTAATAGCGCGAATTATATCGCGCGCTAATTGTCCCAAATTGGTCAAAATGGCAATCTTTAAACCCTCATAACTTTACGCAAAATGATCACAGGTGAAATATCTTTTCAAATTTAAGCTCAGGACAACAATACCTTTCGAATGATATAAAAAAATTCCGTCATAATGGCTAGTTAAAAAGTCGAAGTTTGTCTGAAGAAAAAAAACCCACCCCGAGCACAAATATTCCGTTACTTTCGTATCGAAAGTCGGAACAATTATCTTTTTGCGCAAGGAACTTTATATTTGAGAATTTTGCTTGGCGAAAGTTGAAAGTCAGGTTATTAGCTTCGTCTGCAATCAAAACATTTGGTGCTACAAAATCTTGCATTGCCTAGCCCCTCAGTATTTGGAACAGTTCCCATATTAGTTCAAAAACTTTTCTTTAAATTGCTGACCGTTAAAAGTTTCCACCGTCAGACTTAATCAATTTTTTTAATGCTTTTATGGTTTTTCATTATCTCAAACACAACATTTTTTTCTAGCAAAACAAAACCCACTAAGCAATTGCCAAATCAGAACCTCTTCTCATAGTCCCAGAGAAACATAAGTTTGTTTCAAAAATCAAACATGAATTTCACCATTCAATCAGAATACCCTATTCACACCACAAAAAGCCAACCTTATCTTACCCACCTCTCTTCTTTGATCACAGGAAATCACTGCTCCAGGAAGTTGCTTCAAATCAAAACGATAGACCACAAATTCATTTGGTGTGCAAATTCGACAATCAAGAAGGGCAGACCTTTGGGAGTTCATGGGATGTACATGATGAACTTTGAGAAATACAATTATGTCAAAGACAAGTTATTTTGTTTAGACAACAAGCTAGTTCTTAACGACAAAAACAGGTTATTTCGTTTGGACAATTTATTTTGTTTAGACAACAGTTAATTTCGTCAGCAAAACACGGGGCTTTTGATGATACCCGAATGGGGCTTTTGATGATACCCGAATGGGGCTTTCGACTTACACGGGAATTACCCGAGACATTTCTGTCGGATATTTTCAGCCGAATGTATATAAAGCGACCCGTTTGTAGCGAGATCTACCTGTGGATGCTTTCTGGGAGTCAAAAAAATAAGTCCTAGTGAGCATTGATTTTTTCACGAAATTTTCTCCGGCTTAAGTTGTTAATAACACTTCCTTACTTTCCATTATGCCATTGTTAAGCAACACTTGTCACTTACACGGGTTTGTTTAAAAAATAGAGTCAACCATGTGTCATAATTTTTTTTTTTATTTTAAAACATTTTGTGAAAAAATTAATACTGCAAAATTTTTTTCTACAGTAGGCTATCACAGATTGCATTGAATTCTAGAAAGACTTGCATATAAAGTTAGGGCAAAATTAATGCCCTTTTTGCATTCGTCAAACAAAAAAATACCTAAGCTCTTTTTGCATTCGTCAAACAAAAAAAAATATTTGGAACTTGGGAATTACGAAACAAATAGCAATCTTGGAAGCACTCTTTTCGAAAACACCGAACCGCTAAAACCCATTGGATCAACTTATTTTCAAATGATAACCATGCAAATTGAGGAATATGTACATCCTACCTAAGATTGGAGCACATAACTGGGAACTGCAAGTTGGAGCAGAAGACATGGCTACCTGAACGTAAAGCAAGTGTCAATTTTTGATCGACTCAGGAGACAAGATAATACCCGCAGTAACCAATGAAATCTTTAGGACCCTCATTTCAACCAATATATTTAGGAAAATATCATCCGGGGATAAATTTTATAGGAAGGCCACGAATTGTAAAAAGGGGGAGCTTTTTTATATTCTCATCAAAGAAGACATCGTAGAACCCACGGAACACAAGTTAACATTAGATAATGTACACAGCCTGCGTTTAAAGGTAAACTGTTTACCGGTCCGACAAAAAACTCGGTAAAATCAAAAGCGATTGATCAGAGTACAAAAAACTTTATGAGCTTAACAGGAAAATAGATGTCTCCTCGAAGGTAAATAAAGCCAGTAGAGACCCAGGGACGATCCCCTATAGCATTAGTGCGACCCCCAAAAAGGCGTGGCCTACAACCTCCATCATCAGCGCAGAATATCCTCAGGATTCATCAGATTCATTTTTTTTTCGGTATACTTAGGTTCATGGACAATATCAAACAACAACCAACTCAACTAATTTCAATCATCCGCGCGCATCTCAGCTTTCAAAACTTGATTTGAGCCTTACAGGAGCAGACAGCAATCGTTACATGGAGGCGACATTACGTACAAATAGAGAATACAGTCTCTATTTACGTACGCAACCTAGAATCACGGAAAAAACGGGACCAATGTGGAATCGATCCACGTTGATAGCTTTGTGGGCGAGCGTCCCCCCCACGCAATAACCACTCTCGAGACCCTCCAGGCTCAGGAAATCAGTGCGACCTCTAAATTTTGGAAAATATTGATGTTCTCCGAGAAAAACACACTGGACCCGATGCTCATGTCCTTCCCTTGTTTTTGTTTTTGGTCACTATCGGAATATTATACTCCTTTGGTCCAAACCCCGATCAGAATGGCTTTGATACATAGTCATCAAAATTTATAACCCCTTTTTAGGCGCTACCAGTACAGACGCCAGCACTAGACGCTGCTCTTGAGTGTTCCTTTTCGGGAACAGTACACCATTCCTACCCCATGACGAGACAAGGGAGCATTCTAAATTTTTCGTGGAACGTTCGAACTTGCTTGAATATTTTGTTCTTATGACCTTAAGTAAGTACTGATTAAAAAACTGTCAATTTATGTCATGTTTCGACCAATGGTTAATCATTCGCTGTTCGTGTCAACCTAGAACAAAATTTTAAATTTAACACATTCATTACTCAATTTATTCTTTTAATTTTGTGCGCAAATTTTTGTATAAGAAGAAAAAACTTCTTATCACCTTTTGAAATTCTTTTTCATGTTATATAAAATGCAAATTGCATAAAAATATACTTTTGAAACCTGTAAATAAAAAATTTGCTAAATGTTTAAAGATTTTTAGGGAACAAATCATACTAGAACAAGTAAAAGTCGTTGTATAGCTCACGTGATTTTTTTGGCACCTTCTGAGTAATTTTTATTGAATGGCCACCCGCACTGGCATAAATGTATTAGGGTCAATTTTAGTATGAAAAAAGTACGTTTATTAAATTTAGATCGGTTTTAGTATGAAAAAAGTACAAAGTTTAAACAAAAAAAGATAAATATTGATTTGGATCGTTTGAAAATCGATTTAAATTGATCGTAAATCCCAGCTAAAAAAAACTGATCCAAAACATTTTTAAGTCGATTTAAATCCATTTTTTCTAGCCTTAATTTGTTTTTGTTTTTAAGGGGAATAAAACGGATTTAAACCAATTTAAATCAAATTTATCATCAAACTTCATCAGCTTCGATTTTTTATTGCACTTATTCATTGCCTATCATTTTAAATTTTACATCCATACCGTATTGTAGCTTAAAAAAGATCAAATAAAAAGAACAAAATATCGATTAACTTCTATGATTTCATTGCATTTTTTTAAGCTTAAAGTCTGATTCTTGTGGATCATTTTATTGAATTTTATAACATCTGGCACGTTTGTTTTTTAAAAAAAAAATCGAAATCAAAACATTTCAATTATTTTTCTAAAGAGTATGTTTTTTTGCTTTGTTAGCGTAAAAAAATTGAGTTTAGTTAGTCTGAAAATCCATCCAAATCGATTTAAATCGACTTTTAAGACACTTAAATCGATCCAATCTTTTCAAGGAAGATCGAATTAAATCAATTTAAAATGGATTTAAGTGAGATTCGGATGGATTTTAGTGAGTTTTGGATGGAATTTAGTGTGTCGGAAAATCCACCCAAATCGACCCGACATTTAAATCGACGCAAAATATTTTTAAAAAGATTGATTTAAATCGATTTAAAATCGATTCAAGTTCGTAAAATGTACATTGTTAGTCGATTTCGTCGATTTCGAAACCATTTTCGTCAGTTCGGGCAAACAACGCCTGGAAAACAAAACTTTTTTCTTTCGATGCGGCTAAATGCTTTTGCATTTAAATAATTTGCCAAAAAGTAAGTTATGAATCTCGATTAGTTACCAAAAAACGGCAAGAACGTAAAGAAAATAGGTTTGTAAAATTGTTGGTTTTTTTGTTTGAAAGTTTTATGTTGAGAATTCTTCGTCTCGTTACTGTAGCTCCCCTTACTTATGTTTTAATTCATTGCGGATTGTAAGTAAGGCAAAAAATAGAGTTAGGTCAATGGGAGAGAACTCATCAAACGAAATATGCCAACAGAAAAAGGCCAACAACATTTCTTGAAAAATTTTGTTCTCATAAGAAGGCTCAAAATCCAATTTTTCAACTTACCTGTTGCTTTCCTTCTCCGCCACTATTCTTTCAATCTCCTGCGTGAGGTTTCTCGCCACTTCCTCTCTATCATTTTTCTCTCTCTCCAACTGCTCCTCTAATTCGGCTATGAGCCCGTCCTTTTCCACCCTCATCTGCTCCATTTCAATGCGCACCTTCAGTCTAAAACAAATACCACGTCTCGATAAGCAGAAAAGTCGATGAGCTTACTAAATTTCTCTGCTTTGTGATATCCATGAGAATTTAAATATTTATGCGTGCTGCAGAACATCAATAGTTTTCTTTTTGAGGTCAATTAAAAATTCCTTTGTAGATAATCTCATTATATAACTATAACCATTTGATTAAATTTCTTTGGAGTCTGAAGTCTAATAATAAACTACTTTTCAGACGCGAGTGCGCACAAGTACCCAGACAATGCACATTTGAAATGCCAACAATTCTACTTAATTTGAGGGCTTTTTGAGAGCTTCACATTTGGAATTGTACTGCTTCCCTGGTTAAAATAATAGCAGCCTTTTCATAATAAAAATAATCAAGTTTCAGTTGACGATCTTCATCCGAACAATTAAATTTATAAAATTTGTTCATCACGTCATTAAACTGTGACGTCACGAAATGAAAATGTCGTGAAAAGATAAATAGAGCTTTAATGAATCAAGAAATAAGTCATCATTGCAATGAATAATAGCTCAAAAGGCGTTCGCGTTACCCTTCACACGCACTCCCCGCACCCGCCCTATCATCCCATCTGCCACTGTCACCCCCAGCAGGGAACCCTGTCACCATTCCAGACCAATTTGTACCCTTCGATCCTGGCGGACTGTTGGCACTAGCTGCACCGGTTGGTGAAGTTAAAGGTGATTTGTTGATGCTGCTGCTGTGTTTGCTATAGCTGAATGACGATGTGTTAGGTCTTCCGAACGTGGTCAGATTTTGTTGGCCTTCAGATTTGTGATTGACATCATTTTGAGATTGGGATGATGCTTCTGAAGGCAAAAACAGAATTACCCTCTCATAATTGAATTACCCTCTCATTAAACCAACATTAGACAATTCATTGAAAAAGCATCAAAAGCCAATGGCAATGCTCAAAGCCATTTTACAAAATTGGCTTTGAGCATTGGCTTATAGGGTTTACAAAAAATTGGAATAAAAATTGAACAATTTCTTATCCTTCCCTCTAAATAGACCAAGTTACGACCGAACTTCTACCGCTCAATTCAATTTGTGTTACAACCGCTAGATCAATTGAGCAATACCCCCCATTTCGGAGTCCTTTTATAAGTCCTATTATAATCACTTAAACTACTTTTTATTGTAGAAAACTATTCGCTAGATTCTCCAACAAACGCAGAGAACTAAAAACCACATCATGAAAACTCAAACTCAGCGAGACAAAATAACCACACAGAAATCGCACTTTAAACCGGTTTTTCCCGTTTTGTATGAAGAAAGATGCGCAATGGCGTACATTAATAGAACGCCGTATGCTTTTTGCCTAAATAGATGTCAAGGAACTGGTCCCTGTTAAATTGCTTATCTCCAAACAGTGATAGCTCAAAAAAATAGTTGGATAATTTGATTTTTTTTTTAAGTTTTGATTTTTTTCCCTATATAGATGTCAAAGAACTGTCCCTGGTAACTTGCTTACCTGAAAGCAATGATCACCCGAACAAAAAGATGGAAATTTTGAAAAAAAAAATGTTTTTTCTAGTGCTCGCGTTTAAAAATGTCTTTTATATTTTTTGCTGTTTTTGTTTGGGGGAGATTGCTCAATCGATCATAACGAGGGGGAGGGGGAGAGAGATTGCTCAGTTGATTGAAATCATTTAATGTCGTCTTCTGTGAAATACCATATACTCATTGGCCGATAAATCTATCTCAGAAAAAATTATAACAAATTTGAGATTGAATTCGAATTATAATGGATTCAAATGATTTTCTTGCTTAAGCATATGATATAAACCCCTTTGGATGTTTTTCTTAAATTTTAAAAACCATCAATATCTCAACAAAACAGATTTTAATTAGATATTGGTTTGTTTCAAAACTTGAGCAAAAATTCATACTCAAAAAAATCTTCATCAAAATTACAGCGAGCTAGTTACTCGGAGAGTGTTTTTAACCGCAAACTATTCAGTTTACAGGAAGATATTTTGCAAAACAACGTGTGGCCTCGGTGATGAAAAACAAAATTAAGCAAATTTCTTAAAATGAAGTTTCCATTATAAAAGTTCTACTTGCAATTTTATTAGACAAATAAACATATTATTGAAAAACATATAATGCAATTGAATAAAAAAGCCTGTTACTGTGGAGGTAGCTCAAATTTTTCCGGCCATAGTCTTGAAAAATACAATTTTTGTTCTTTAATTAATGTCATCTTTTCTGTGTGTTTGATAAAAACAACGCTACGAAAAAATTGAAATTGGACAGATGCGGCGGTCACAGTCAATTAGGCCAATTGGAAAACAGTTTTTGTAGAAAAATGGCGCTAAAAAACTTCAAAAACTATTTTTACGTTGAAAAATGTTTCGAAATTTTATAATGTCGTTCGAATCACGACTAAAAAAGCTCTAATACGTTATATCACTCGACCCATTCCGATGATTATTTGCGATACTTGATTTTGCGTGGAAAATTAAAAATTTTAAACACCCGAATACAAATTTTCTCCACATTTTTCGAATGGTTGGAGCAAAAATGAACATATAATTGAAAACGTGCATAAAAAAGTCATATTATTTTTCATAAGTTTTTTCAGGCCAAACAATAACGAACAGATTTTTGAAAAATATACGCTATTTTATTAGCATCTATTGTTTGATAGTCGAGAAAATCTAATTACAATCTGTATAAAATGAGGAGTCTGAAAAAATGAGAAAAAAAATGCATTTAAACCAATGTTTGTTGATTTCAATGTTGCTTAAGTTGTTCAAAATGGAAGGAAAAAAGTTGCCCCAATTGGAATTAACTTCATTTAGAATCGATTGAAATTGATTTTTTCTATTTACCTTTTCTATACAGAATAGATTTCAAGTCAATTCAAATTGATTTATTCTGTATCAAAATAAATTAGCTTGGAAAACATTTGTTGGTAAGAAAGGGTAACATCCTCCATCTAAAACGCTTTAAAGTTGAGACAGTGAGGATGCTAAATGGGTCCTAGAAGTATTCGTGTCCATCGTTCAAGTCAGCTTTTTCTCTCTATCAACAAACTTCATGCAAAAAATTTGATTGCCGGATGAGAAAATTTTTAATTAATTAAGTTTTCAGCAATCATGTAACATTTTGTAACAGAGATTTCAAAAATTTTCCTTGTGATGCCAATAAAAATTTTGGGCTGATCTATTTTAGATATCAAAAACATTTCATGAAAAATTTCTCTTTACTGGAATTGTAAAACAACTCTCCAAATTAACAAACAAGTTATTCTGTAACTTTCTGTTTCACCCCAAATTCTGAGGAAGCCAAGCGGTGTAACCTCGAAGTGAAACAAGGCTGAACAATGCTTTATTGCGGAATCTACAACAAGGCTGTTTTCCTCTAATTTTTTTTGCTGCTATGAATTTCAGAGAAAAATGGTTAAAACAAACCGCAGCGCCAGATGCTAATTAAAAAGTAAATTTCGAAATTATAATGGGGAATCTATGACGGAATTTATAAGTATAATTGTTGAAAACAACCAAAAAACATCTAGAGATGATTATTATAGCGCTGAATCAACATTTTGTGAACAAAACCTGCTTTTTACAAACGGAAACCGCTTTTTGAAAGCAGATTCCGCTTTTTTATAGCAAATTTGAAAGAAATCCCCGACGAATGTCGAATCACTTGCAAATGTAGGAACTGCAGCAATTTGGGATTTTCGCTCGAGTCGGAAAAAATCATGTTACAAGTATGTGACTGTGAATTTGCAAAAAATTGGTGAGCGGGTTTCACTTACTATTTTGACTTGTTCAAAAGTCAAGACTCCAGTGACATACAGGATTCTTCCAGGATTTTTTCACATTTTTCCAGGATTCTTTTGAGCCTTTTGAAGACAGAATTTGGCCTGCCTCGTAGTAAAGCAAAAAACGTTATTAAAATTTTGAAAATAAAAAATGGCCCAATTGTTCGACTCTTGGGTAAACTGACAACAAATTTGGGCTCGGTGAGGACAGAACTTTTCAGATAGAAAATAATTTAATTATAATAATAGTGTGCAAATACCACTGGTAATCTAATCTATCTAATCTAAGTTTAAAAAAACAAGACTGCTCGTATCAGGGCGAAGCCCTCAATATTCCGACTGCCTTTTAAAGTTTATGGAGCAGTAATAACAAAAAACCATTCAATGAAATAAAACAAAATCCAACTTTTTTTTCTAAAAGTTGAAAATTTTTACAAAAGTCATCACCCCACACGCCATGCAAAGAACAAAAGGATAGATTTTGCTCCTTGTAACAAATCAATTATGGCACATAAGCTTCTTTAACCAATTTGGAACGATTTCTAAGACGGATTAACTCTCCGCTTACGCGTGAATAGCGCGAAATACCTTGCGCGTTCATTGTCCCAAATTGGCCAAAATGGCAATCTTTAAACCAACGTAACTTTACGGAAAACGATCACAGGTAAAATATCTTCAAATTTACCGCTTCAAATTTAGGTTCAAATTCGAGCTCAAGACAACAATACCATTCGAATGATATTAAAAAACCCACCCCGAGCACAAATATTCCGTTACTTTCGTCGGAACAATAAAATAGCGGTATTAAAATAAAACTGACCGATGTCTTAAAAGATCAACTAGTGACGCCAAGTCCACTGGACTTCAAACGGTAAACATCGATCGGTATGTAACTATCTAATAGAGGTCAAGGTCACTACTTATTAATAGAACATAATCACAACTTTCCCCACTGCACGAAAAAATTATATCTGCACTTTCAATGGGTAGCCAATTCTACACATATACTCCATTCTCCCCTCAATCCATGAGGGCCAAAGTTTGAATCAAAAAGTATCAAAATTTAGCTCCAATGGAATTTACAGAGAATATACAAATTAACATGGAGATGAATATGGGTTAATATTTACAGTTTACCTACAAAATGATACAGATATATACAACGAATACACAATTATGGAAATGTAACGTACAATTGAGGTTATGTATCATATAAACAAGTTGAACAAACTAAACTATTTAGGTAACTAAAGTAAAACATGTTCATTTAAGAACTAGTGTACAAATTCACTAAAACTAGGAAATGGTAAATAAAGTGAATAATAAAGTGAAACTAATAACTAATGGTGGAAATCAACGGTATCTCAAATTCATAAAAAAAGAGTTTGTGAGTTTTAGGAAGGGTCATTAAATGTATCATGGAAATTGTCGGAGTCTTTTCTTACTTCCATTTCTACAATCGACGATATATCGCTCCCTTCGTCTTCTTGGTTGTCTAGTACGTCTTCAACCAATGGAGATGATATGACTGCAATATTGGAGATTATTGAGAAAGAGTGCGAAATTGATCCTTGTGTCGTTTCAGCCACTAACGTTGGTTTGGGTAGTATATCCTCTAGTGGTGTCAAGTAGGCCGATGGAGATTCTACTGAATATGAGGTCCGTATTCTTTTGGTCGCCGAGAAGGTTATGAGCCCAGTTATGAGTCCAGTATATCCGTGGTTGCTGCTACTGGTGACCACTGCATGATGAACCGCCTCTCTCCGTAAAATTTAGGGGTGCCCGATTTTCTTCTGGGGCGAGACACGCTGCACCTAGGGACTTCCACTGATGGAAACTCTGATCTAAAGCACTATCACTACTAAAGTTTGAGAGCCAAGTACATTCTCCGAGTCGGTTACCAAATAATCTTCTAAAACATTGTCCCAATGGTCTAAGTCTGGAGAAGAGTCGATAACGGAGTAAGCGAATTTTAAACCTTTAATATTTGGGGCTTTAGTTTTCCTCCTTTTCGTGCCATTAGCTCTGGTTGGT